GTTGTATTTCTCATCATTGTTACATCGCACCCTGACTGGCTCATCTCCTCCCCGGCTTAATCTTGTCTTTAGTGTGGTTTCCTTACAGAAAACGTGGTCTTATTGCCTTTTTAATACGTAAAGAGGTTTTGCATAATCTGTGGGCCGGCCTTTTCACAGGGCTTACTTGGTCTGTAACAGTAGTAAGATTGTAGCCGTCTGTGGTTTATGTTTTTGCTGTCGGACTTCGTTTTTAAAGACGTCTCTGTGTCTGGGAGGGACTTTAGCAACAGCGCTCTTAAAATTCTCCTTTAAGTGTAAGCTTAAGCAGAAAGTCATTTTTGTACATCTCTCATACTTTTCTACGAAATGATTAAACAAGAAACCAACCCCCCCCCAAAAAAAATTGTCAGAGGTTCTTTTTAGAAGAAAATCCACGATTTTCATATTTTGTTAGAACACTGGAAGCAGTAACCATGCCCAACTACATTCTAACTTTCCAAGGCGCTTCCATTTTCCTTACTAAAAAGAAGGTAACCGAGTCAATTCTGATTCATAGTGACCCTGGACAGCAAAAGCAGAACTGAGTCCTGGGGTTTCCCAGGTGACATCTTTTTGCGAGGAGCTGCCTGTCGGTGAGCACTGTGCCACCAGGGCTCCCCTCCTAAAGACACGCAGAGAAAATGGTGATCCCACTGTCCTGCAGCTCTTTGTTCACCTGACCTTTTAAAAACAATGGACGTTTAGTGTAGGTAATAGTATAGAAGCACAGGAGGGAAATTACTAAAAAAGGAAAAAGTGAAGGTAGAGCCTTACCTCCTCCCAGTCATCAAAAGAAAATCTGGATCAAGCCAGTATTTAAATCAAAAGCATATGGCAGAAAACAAACAAACACCACTACCACCAAATCTAGCAAAAATTCTATGATTTGGGATAGGAGAGGTATTTGCTAATCATGACACTAAAGTCTGAAATAATAATACAAAGATGAACAGAATTGATTAAATGCTAAAAACTTAACTAGCAAAATACCCAAGAGAAATTATAAAGACAAACAAAAATCACATGTTACATATAACAAAATGTATGTTAGTCATGTCCCAATGGATGGCTAACAAATTGCACAGAAAGGAAACCCAGACACTGCAAACTAAACATGTCTAACAATGCGACTTGGCAATTTAATCGTTAATTCTTTCCTTCAGTCTCAGTGGGTGGCACCATAGATCTTGAAGTAATTTTTGACACTATTCTTTGAATCCCGGGCCAATAAACCACCAAGTTCTACCCGTGTGACGTAAATATTTTGGAGATCTGCAGTCTCCTCTTCATTCCTGCATACATTCTCCTGGCTCTGACACCTAAGAGCTTATCTCACCTGCATGACTGCAATGGTCTTCCATTCTGTCACCCCTTCAGCCCACCTGTTCTAAGGCATCATGGACCACACTACCTCGTTTAAAACAGTCCTTTCACTGCCTACAGCAGTAATACTCAATCTTTGTAATTACACATTTCAGAATACTGGATCTTTTGATAACACATCAGAAGAAAATGAAAGATCTAAAACAATACCCCAAACTCTCTGATGCAATGTTTGGAGATATAAGATTTTGGATTCTATGAGGGTTAAGTAAAAAAAAGTATTGCTATAATATCATAGAAACCTTTATGAAACACAATTATCAAAATATGAAGTGAATGTTTCATGACATGCCCTCCCATCTGGGTCTAGAGCAGTGGTTCTCAATGCCGTGACCCTTTAATACAGTTCATGTTGTGGTGACCCCCAACCATAAAATTATTTTTGTTGCTACTTCAGAACTGTAATTTTGCTATTGTTATGAATTAGGTGACCCCTGTGAAAGGGTTGTTTGACCCCCAAAGGGGTCGTGACCCACAGGTTGAGAGCCACTGATCTAGACGATCCAGAGGAGGTCCTTCTGCCTCTTTAACCCCCTCCTACAGAATTTGGCACTCTGAGACTTCTGTCATATTAAAATGACAGCGTGGGTATCCTCGAGGGACTCAAAATCATGCTCCTTTTAAATATTCTCTGCATTGTGAGAAGTCTGAAGGGGCAAGATCAGGGCTAAAAGGTGGGTTGGGGTAAGGTTTCCCCACAAAATTAATATATTAGCCCAATACTCACCTCACAAGACAACTGTAAAGATTAAATGAGAATACATAAAAAGCATGTGAGCAGACAGACAGCATTCAATAATTATATTACTCAATAATATACATTTTACCAATATTTATGGACATACAAAATTTACACATTTGATATCATTACACACATATATCTATTCTCAAAATGCACTAAAGAAACCAGCCATAGCTGCAAAAGGGTGCTGCCCTCAAATTTATTTATGTAGACTGGAATCGGCTAGGACACATTTGAGGATGACAGGATTTTTCTTTTAGTTCTGTCCTGTACGTTCATTTATTTACTTGTTCATGTATTCCACAATTAGCGAGTGTTAGTTACAGAAAAGGGCCTTACGCTTGGTAGAGTACGAGGTCAACAAAAAAGATGACCCTCAACAAGATGGGTTGACACAGTGGCTGCAATAATGAGCTCAAGCACAGTAACGATGGTGAAGATGGCCTAGGAGCAGGCATGTTGTGTTCTGTGGTATATGTAAGGTTGTTACAAATATGTACACATTATATATATATTATGGTATGATAACATTATTTCAGAAGCCCTTTCTGTAGCCATGAACTATAAAAATGGGAGAATGTATTTAATGAAAAAATAAAATTTTAATTTATGTAGAAAGCTGAATGATGAATGTATAATCTGCAGAAAATACAGGCATTTTCCATTCTCTGTGGGAACCAGCGTGACATCAATGATTTCATGAAAATCCAAGGAAATAAGTCTGCTGAAGCAGCACAATCATCTAATTCAAAGGCAACAATTTAACCTGTGCAGCTGCACACGGCACATCTAACACACTATTCTGTCGAATCTAATCTTTCACTTAAATAAACGACTTCTAAATTAGTTGGTCTCACATTTTTGTAAAGTACAAAAAGCAAAGCTGTTTATATGTTGGCTCCAGTAACACAAACACCCTACAAACAGCTAAGGGAGGCCAGTTATACCAGGTAATTTCAAAATAGAAAGTCTGCTATAATTCCAATAATGGGTAGAGCCACAAATGTTGGGGTACTGATAATGAATTATATTCAGAGGCCTTGTGAACGTCATGTATTGATTTTTCCAGTAGTTTACAGATTCTTTTGGATTTTCTAAGCACACCTCTTCTGCAAATACTTATGTATCTTCCTCCCTTGACCCTCAAGTCTTAGGCCTTTCTTGTGGAGCTGTAATTCTGCAACTAAATTTGGCAAAGTATTCTGAACAATTTTAAATAGGGAGAATTTGATAGGTCTTATTTCACAATACAAAATATTTTCCAAAGGAAGATATGCTGGACAAAGGCAAAAAAAGAACATCTGTGAAAATATTTTTATACTTTAATTTGTAAAAATGGAGGGATGACTCTCCTCCATTTACCACCTTTGTTTTAGAGACAACAGGAACCTCAGCATCTGTGAGAAGGCATCTTCCTACGTTTTTACATAGTCTGCAAGAGAGTCAACTGGAGGTACCAACAGTTTCAAGTTATTAACTATAATTAATTATAGTCTTCTGAGGACTGTCAGAACTTCTATGGAGAAAAGGAAAAGAAGACCAAGTAGAAGAAGAAAAAAGTATTTATACATCTTTCAAAAAAAATACCAGAAAAAGACTAGCTACAGATATGGATACGAAACTTACAAGAAACATAAATGGGTATATTTTAATGTTCAGATCAACATAAAGGTATACACTTTTATTTGACTTAAGTGTACACAGATATATTATTTTTTAAATAAAACATCTATTTTTGAAAAATGTTACAACTCCAGCTGTAAAACAAAAGCAATTTGTGGGTCAATAACATTTTTAAATGATGACTTTAAACACCCTTCTCACTAACAGGAGTGTTTCAGTTTATAATTTTTAATAGTATGCTCATTCTACTTACATACCAAATTATACTACAGCATTACTTAGGTAACATTATGAAATAAGTGAATTTGCAAGAAGCCTGTCGGGTTAATTTAGTAGTTACTTCTGCCTGTGTTTTAATTAACAGAAAGAAACGAAGATGTGTTGGGATACAAAGAGGGCCCTGCTTGCTGGCTCACCCCCTAGGCTCATTTCAGCAAAAGAAAATCTCCATTAGAGAGGGGTGAAATTCATACTTCACAAAATTATCCATTATCACACCCGAGACAGGCTTTGGGATCCTTGAGGAGGAGTGTCCTCAGAGCTCTGGATGGTGAAGGCTAAGCAGTTCTCTTAGCAGGCCCACTCTCTTTCCCCGGATCACTCTGTAAATGTCTGGCTAGTGGCCAATGTGATTGATTGCAACATTAGCTTTCCAGAATTTTTGACATTGAAGCCTCTGTTGTTTGACACTATTCCCAGGCATAGATTTTTTTATGCTCTGCTCTAAAATACCTCTCTCTTACAGAGCAGCGACTTGCCCTACCTGCTTGGATTAGAACTTGAGGGGTCATAGAGAGCTGGGGAAAGAAGTGGGAGTAGATCTTGACTAAAATGTTCTCACTGTTGTGAGAATCAATAGCTTTTCTTGAATTAATGGTTCAAGGGGTAGTAACAATGACCTTTCATAAATTTCCAGAGCTCCTTAGGGGTTATTTTAAAAAATGATTTGCTTAGTTTCTCACTGCTTTTTGAGAGGCTCAGTCATTCCGACAGTCCTGTGTCTACACTTTATTTTGAATTATGTTTTCTCTCTTCTACCAATGTTCTAAAGATTAAGAGTAAATATGAAACAGGGCAATTTTCTGAACTTGAGGTCTTAAAGTCAACAGACAGAGGTGTAAACCCATTGAATTTAGAATCACCAAAGCAAAAACTCCCCAAAGAGCAGAATATGGGTCTCAATATCTTCCAGATTCTTCAATACCACTTAAACATAATACTTTCTATACTTACTCTTCAAGACTGGGTAAAATAGGCCTCCAGACAAGGGATGATTAGGAGCTAAAAAGCACCTACAGTTGCCCTACCTGGGCTCGCTCTTCATCAAACTCCAGGCAGCCCATACCATCCAGTCTCTGTAGGTCAATCCAGCCTTTCCAGATAACACAAACCCCATTCAGAATCATGGGCGCCTTCAAATACACCTACGATACAGAGGAGGAGGGTGAAAACCAAGGGAAAATCAAATCAAGGGACTGGACTTACACATGTAAACCCTGAGGTACTTTTTAAACAAGATGGATTTCCTATAAAATTAAGAACTGTAATAAAGTACATAAACTATGACCTCTGACCACATATTCTATTATCTGGCTGGCGAGAATTTTAGTCATAATTATTGCAGATTCTTTTATAAATGTTGTAAAAACATTTGTAAGATGTATAAAAACGGTAGGGGGATTCTTGAAGTTGCCATTGTTCTTCTAGCTCAGTGGTTCTCAACCTTCCTAAGGCCACGACCCTTTCATACAGTTCTGTTGTGGTGACCCCCCAATCATAAAATTATTTTTGTTACTACTTCATAACTGTAATTTTGCTACTGTTATGAATTGGGCAACCCCTGTGAAAGGGTCGTTTGACCAAAAAAGGGGTTGCAACCCACAGGTTGAGAACTGCTGTTCTAGCTGAAGCTGGGACACTAGCTACTGCGCTCTTTTTTGAATCTTGGGCAGGATAGAAGGAAAGTCACCGAAGTCCACTCACCTCTAGGACAGCACACATTGCGTCCCTCTGCTTGAGTCCCCCAGAGCCACCAAGGGCCAGGCTCTCCACACGACCCTTCGTTTTCTAAGCTACATTCCAGCGTCACAGTAACACGGTTTTAAACTTTTTTTAAAAAGAACTTAAGGGAGCTGGAACTTATTTCTACTGCTTTTTAACCAAAGAATCTTAACTAACATAATCCACCTGCCATGTCACATTAGATGACGTATGGTTTATTCTCAGTTTTCCAAAGTCATTTCAAGCAAAAGCATTGCCACCTTTTACATGTAATTTAATTCATTACTTCAGTCTTTAAAAATATTGTACAGTTTTAAAATCACAGCAAATGTGTAGAAACCGCTACTGTACTCAAAATCTATTTCAAAAACATACTCTTGAAATTGTAAAATACTTTTATAAATATGAAACCAATGAAAATTTAATCTCTACATTACACTTAAAAGTGAGAAAATTAGCCAGGCATCCCCCTACTACATCCAACACCTCCAGCTGCTGCAGGTTAGAAAACTAGCTGAAATGAATTTCCTGGGATGCTATCAGGTCTCAAATCACTGACAAACGAAAACATGCTCCCCTTGTTTTAAGGAGCCCAAGTAGCAAATAAGTTAAAGCATTTGGATGCCAACCA